CTTGATAGTCCCATCATCGTCGCTCTCCATGTTAGGCCAAAACACATTCCACCGCGTAGGTACCCTCTTAAATTTCTTCATCACAATGTTTGTGCAGGAATCATCCATTATTGCTTTGCTGTCTAATTAATTACCGTGAACCTCTTGGTGATCGTGTTGTGATTTGAAGATTACGTAGACCAGGGCCTCAAGGTTTTTCCCCCTGATGAAAGCGATGTAGCCAATGTTTTTTCTGCATTACGAGAAATACGTTCCCATAAGGCGGTATGGAATCAGAAATTTCATTTGTAACTGCAGTATAATTGAATGTGGTAAAAAAAAAAAAAAAAAGAGTGGTTCCCATTTCTGAATGATATTATGTTGATCTTCCTAGTGTTCAAGCTTACTTCATTCGAATTGATTTGATATATATTCAGGTGACGATAAAAGAAGCCGTAGTTGATGATAGTGATGTTGTCAAAGGAATTTCAGACTTTGCAAACAAGCATCACATCAACAGTATCGTTATCGGCGCAACGGCTAGCTGGAACTCTCTGGCAAGGTCTTTTTCGTCGCGCATTAGGTTATTTATATTTTGTATATAGAATTGCATAAATGTACATCTATAATGTACTAAACAATGATTATATTGCAATTATCAAAGGAAATTTATAGGTTTTGATTTGCCAACGGCCATAATCAAATCAGCTCCAGATTATACTTCTGTGTACATAATTTCAAAAGGAAAGATAATCTCAGCTCGATCAGCCCTACGTCCTATGTCGAGCGTGTTTGTCTCATCAAAGCATCCGCCGGCTCTTCAACTAAATGATGTAGAAAACGGAGTAAGGTACCTAGGCATGAAATTCATTTGCAACTTTGAATCCTTGACACACCTCTTGTGCAAAAACATCAATATAAAGACTACCTGTTCATTGTATTTGGTGTTTGACCGCAAACAGGGAACAGGCAGCTAAAAGAGGAGGGATGGCAGAGGGATCAGTAAGAGCGTCTTCCGAGAGGAACAATAATGGAGTAAGGCAAAAGAATTCTGGCAGTTCGTCGATGGATAAAATCAACTTGCCCAATCGTGGGCCGAAGCCATCAGCTGGCATTGATTCCTTTTCAGACGAAAGTGTTTCCTCAGATCAGACTAATCAAGATATGGGGTTTAGCTTTTCATCCGATGGCTCCAGGGTGTCGTCATCTTCCCAGCCCTCAGTAAGCGCAAAAATGAGCAGTATAACTTTCTATGCTTTTGAATGTACCACATATATATATATATATATATTATTGCAAAAAGCATGAATGTTATATAAACAAACGAAAAGATGAAACTTACTCATAACTATAGTATCATTACTTTATTACAGAAAGAACTAGAAGCTGAGATGAAGAGATTGAGGCTTGAACTGAAGCAAACCATGGACATGTACAGCTCAGCTTGCAAAGAGGCGATCTCAGCAAAAAATGAGGTGATTTTTATAATAAAATGATAGACATACTGCAAAATAGGACCACCAAAATAAGGCATGATGTTTCTGTTTTGCTGCCAAATGACAATATAGTACCAAATAGTCAAATAAAGGTGGTAAGAATTCGTCGTTTGATAGAGCCAGTGAGGACAATAGTACAGTTGAACTAGAAAGAAAAGGTTATTATGGTTTTGACGGTGCAATTGGTGTCAAATAAAATGATTTAAGAATGGGCAAATATGTGGCAGGCTAACGAGATTAATCAATGGAAACTGGAGGAGGCACGCAAACTTGAAGAAGCCCTCTTGTCAGGAGAGGCAGCTCTTGCACTAGCAGAAAAGGAGAAGGCTAGAGCTCAAGCTGCCATAGAAGAAGCTGAGGAAGCCAAGAAAATGGCTGAGAAGGAAGCAGAGAGGAGGAGACATGCAGAGCTGAAGGCCAGGAAAGAGGCAGAAGAGAAGGACCGAGCATTAACTGCTTTGGCTAAAAATGACGTTCGATATAGAAAATATACTATAGAGGAGATCGAACAGGCTACTGGAAAGTTCTCCCCGTCCTTGAAAATAGGTGAAGGTGGATATGGGCCTGTGTTTAAAGGTGAACTTGATCACACCCCAGTTGCGATCAAAATCTTAAGACCTGATGCTTCCCAAGGCAGGAAGCAGTTTCACCAAGAGGTATGGTTTGCAATTCTTCTGATAAATTGATGCGTATCTCATATATTGATTATCTTGCAAAAATTCTTCGTGAAAAAAAAATGACTACCAAGCGCTTTGAATCTATCGAGTGTGAATGGCACATTCAAACCCTGCACCTTAGTTCGAGCTTGCATGGATTTGTTATCAAAACTTTGGTTAACCTTCAGGAGATAAAAAATGGTAGTAAATGTGGACATTATATTGTATTGCTTTTCATTACCAATTTATTATGGTCGTGAAACTAGTAAAACATCACACTACAACACGACTTGCATCTTTGACAGTCTGCTTTCTCTCGCAAACATCCACAGGTTGAGGTATTATGCTGCATTAGACATCCTAATATGGTCCTCCTCCTTGGTGCCTGTCCTGATTATGGATGTCTGGTGTATGAATACTTGGATAATGGTAGCTTAGAGGATAGATTACTTCAGAAGAATAATAGCCCACCTCTTTCGTGGAGGTTAAGGTTCACAATAGCTGCTGAAATTGCAACTGCACTTCTTTTCCTTCACCAAAGCAAGCCAGAGCCTCTTGTGCATCGGGACCTAAAACCAGCCAATATCCTCCTTGACCGGAATTATGTGAGTAAAATCAGTGACGTGGGCCTGGCACGATTGGTTCCGGCTTCTGTAGCTGATTCTGTCACACAATATTACATGACTTCGGCTGCCGGAACCTTTTGCTACATTGATCCTGAGTATCAACAAACAGGAAAGTTAACAACTAAATCCGATATATATTCACTGGGGATAATGCTGCTGCAAATTATCACAGCTAAGCCTCCCATGGGTCTTGCTCACCATGTCAAAAGGGCAATGGAAAAGGGAAAGTTTTCAGAAATGCTTGATCCTACAGTGACTGATTGGCCAATTGAGGAGGCTCAAGCATTTGCCAAAGTGGCAGTGAGTTGCGCAGAGCTTAGCAAGAAGGACAGGCCTGAACTTGCAACAGTTGTTGTTCCCGAGCTTAACCGATTAAGGAATTTTGCTCTCTCGTCTCGCCCTAATCCTATTGTCACCGACAATCAGAGTCAGGCGGAATGCTCGCCTACACCTACACGAAATTCATGACCAATTACATTAAATAAGAGTCGAGTTTGTGTACTAATTAACCTTGCTAGATTTGCTAGGATCAATACTCTATTTAAGTGTCAAGACCTAATCCTGCATTCTTTCCAAATTTGGTGTTGCATGCAGAGGTTTTGAGAATATAATTATTATTAACTCTGTAAATGAACTCTTTTTCCTTTTTGCCTAGTACCAATTTAAATTGATTTATTTTTCACTAACTAGCAGCCAATCCCCATGAAATGGCGCTTGGAAATGCACACAACATTTAAAGACTATGGAAGATAACACGGAGAATGGGGGTTTCAAGTGTTCATTCTTGAAATAATAATATGGGGGTAGAAAATTGAATCTTGGGTCTCTTAGTGGTAGAACGTTTGGTGCCAGTTATTTTTGTGCAATAATACGCATTGTTAACCAAACCTTGTGAATGGAAGGTCAACAATATTTGTATATTTAATTTTACCAGTGAGTGGTCTGATGAGAAAACTGATGTCTGGGGCAAAAGATAAGGAAGAATAATTGTCATTTGCAGACTGCATTTAGCTGACAGCAAGCAGAATTAAGATGAATAATCTAAAGGATATGTTAACGTTTGTGCATGAACGAGAGTAAAGTAGCCGAGGAACAACGTGTCATCGCATGAAAAGCTCTTTTTTCTTTCGATGTTAAAAGTATAGAGAAGAAATTTTCCTAGGATGCAGGGGAACAGGCTTTGCTTGCTTCGCTTGTTGATTAGGTGATGTAACATAAGACAGCCTAGTTTTGCGTTAAGGTCTAAAATAACGCAGGGCCACGATATTAATTGACATTGAGGTACTGTGCTTGAGGGGGACGTTTCAGTGTTGGTTCTCTTGATTTTTTGGGGGGGGGGGGGGGGTAACTCAAGACACAGTCATAATATTAGGTCTATTCTCGCGAATACAGTGATCTCCAGCTACACGAATTTGCTAGAACTTGCAAGTGAAAAGGGTTCTCAGAATCCCAGCTAGCAAAGTAAAGCATAACAGAACAGCATAAAGTGTGATACCTTGTGAGGCGAATTCATCCACATAAAGATAGATTATGTTGGGAGAAAGGCATAAGAAAAAGAGAGGGAGATACTGCTAAAGAAACTTTGCTTCGGATTCCCTTACCATGAAAATGAAAGATTGAAAATTTGCAATTTCAAACTCCAAGAAGATAACGTAATAATGACTGGCGTTTTTCTTCCTTAATTCTCGTACCTATGGGTCCTTTAATTCTCCCATTATACTGCTCATGGTGCCTGAAAAAACGTACTAAAATAACTCAAGTGTAACAATAAGGACAAATATAAAGTCAAAATCAGCTGAATTTCTTATAATTAACTTGTCTACTTGGTGGGAAGTGCCGAGCAAAAAGTATGCAGAATTATACCCTTTTTCTTCATATGATTTCCTGACTATTATTAGTCCTTTAGATTCAAAGGGAAATATCCATATTTATGGAAATACTCCAGTATGATTTCAAGCATTAAGCTTTCACCAATAATAGTTACTGATATCCAAATTTTGGCCTTATGGTAAATATAAATAATGCCATCGAGAAGCCAAGGGTATAAATTATAAGGGGCCAAAAGTGAACAGGAGAGTATACTTTTCAGCAACATTAAGAAAGCATCTAAATTCTAAAATCAAATTTGTTAAAAAGGGAGGCTAAACACCATAAGGTCACCCATCCAAATTACAAAGTGACACAGTACGGATTTCACAAACAAGGTTTCTGCATTTCTCGGAGCTCATCCCACTTCAATCCAAATGGGTCATCGCAAGAGCTTGGGATTCATCTCAACAAATTGGTTTTCATGGTTCTTAAGAGTTGGGATGGTGGGACTGGCTGTGTTCGCTAGGTTGACATCTCAGGACAAAGTTGAAGCGCCTCAGAGTAACTCGTACTGTATCAGCGAATGTGGCACATGCCCAGTAATCTGTTCTCCACCTCCTCCTCCACTTCTCACATATGTACCGCCACCCTCACCAGCGGTCCCTCATTCTCCACCACCATCGGCGCCGGCCCACGCACCTCCCCCTCTTTACTTCACCTACCCGCAGCCACTCCCGAAGTCACCGGCGTCGCCACCTCCCCCACCGCCACCAGCTCCTTCAACAAACCCTTCAAGCGCCGCTCCCCCTCCGCCTGCTAAGTCCAACAACGCACCTCCTGCGGAGTCCGGTCAACCGATGGTAATATCAGGGCCACATCAGTACTCTTATCCTTATTACTATTATTACGCCTCAGACGCTTCTTCTCCTTCTTCTTACGCACCATTTATACTCTTACTATTGTTCCTTCATCGGATATTCTCCTCTTGGTGAGCGGGCACAAGAATGCTAAAACATCTGTTCCCGAAAATGCGGGATATATGTAACATGTAATTAGATTTGTTTATCTTTTGTACTGTATGGCGTTCGAAATTCAGGTTTATTATTAGCTTTTTTTTCCTGCTCCATTGATGTAGAAAATTAATAAAATAAAAAGATGTGAACTTTGTTTATTTTATCGCCATTTGCCAATGTGTGCATGTATGGGAACTTTGCTTATCGCCATTTTAAGCTTTTGGTTTTAGTCTGACTGTCCTCGCTTCAAGGATCAAATTTCTTCAGCATATGGTTAGAACATTATGTAAAACACAGAGGGAACTGATGATATAGAGAATGAAAACACAAAGTTCTAATAAGCGGATCACCCCAGAAATGCAACTATTGGAAGAACACTTGTTATGATCAGAAACGCGGCGTTATGGAGAAGCCTGGCACGTCATTGTTCAGGAACGCCATTTTGCTGCTGGGAGAGAACCTTCCTCTAAAGGAAACACAAAAACTGGCTTGTGGGACTTGAAAAGCAAAAGCCAGAAGGTAGAAAAGTAATCGTGGCCGAGACAAAAAAGCAACGCGCTCCTATCTTCAAATCTTTTATTTTCCTTTTCGGGGACAAGCTTCTATCTTCAACTGTCACCCAAAAAAAAAAAACTTCTATCTTCAAGTCACACGACCACCATTAGTGTTTGCGAGTAGCTTCTGCATTTTTGTTTGATTATTGCCAGATAAACTTTTAAAATATAATCTGCCATCCGATTTAATTGCAACTAATCAGTAACAAAACTTCAAGTTTAGAATTTTGATGTTAAGTTTTGAAGAGGACAAATTTTATTTCTTAAACGGACTTACAACTTCATATTTCAAACCTTCGAACTCTGAAATGTATGTTTCCATGGCGTAACTGAAGGTGGATCCGCGTCGAAAAGTTTTGGATCAAGACATGTTAAAATTCTTCCACCACATTGCTCCAATTTGCCATTCCCCAAGTGTTAAAAGGAGGAGGAGTCTCTCTATTGGTTAATTTAAGGCATTGATTTGATATCGGGGACTATATAAAGTTGATGCTGGCAAATTTATTATCTGCACTCACCTAAATGCCTAAAGATACAACGAAGGGTGTGTTTGGTTGGAGGGGGAGGGGGAGGGGAGGGGGGGGGGAGGGAAGGAGAGGGGAGGGGAGGGGAGGAAAAATGAGCCCCTCCCCTCATTTGGTTAAAAATTTTGGAGGGGAGGGGAGCTAAAATGTCCCCTCCCCTCCCCTCCCTTCCCTCCCCCCATTTTGGCTCCCCTCCAAATTGGAGGTTTTTGGAGGGGAGCCAAATTGTTAGACTATTATACCCTTATAGTTTTTTCAATATTCCACTTTTACCCATAAAATATATTATTATAATATTTATTTCAAATAAAAAATATATTATCCTAAGTAAAAAAAATAAAAAATATATACATGATTATAATTAAAAATATATTATAAAAAATTATTTAAAAATAAAAAATTATTTAAATAAAAAATTATAATATTATAAAATTAATTGTTTTTTATAAATATATTATTTATTAAATATATTTTAAAGCTGGAAAAAAAGATAGCCTAAAGAGAATAAAATTTCATTTTTCTTAGAGCATATAAAATTTGTTAATTTGATTATTTTAAATATATTATTATATTAATTAGAATAAAAAATTACTGTACCAATTTTTAATACACATGTTAACATGATAAGACTGAATTTTTATTAAATTATATGATTTAAATTAAGATGTAAATTAATTTATATAATATATCAATAAAAAACATAAACTAATATGTAAGGGTAAAATGGTAAATTGATTATTACTATCCCTCCCCTCCCCAAACCAAACAAGGGATCATTAAATACCCTCCCCTCTCCCCTACCCTCCCCTCCCTCCCCTCAAACCAAACAGTCCTAAAGGGAGATATCTCCACTGACTAGTACTCAAAACAGTACTGTGCTATATGGGACAGGGTTGGGTTCCACTAGATTTTCGAGACTCGCTCATCAGCTTTTGAAGAGTAAACCATTTCGCCCTTTTTTCGTCTCTTAATTATCAATTAACTGCTAATGGATGTGGCAAGCAAATATCAACCGCAGTAGAGAATTTTCAGGTGAAGTCCGCCTTCCTTTCCCCCCCCCCCAATCATCCTCTGTATTTTCCTAGGTTTTTTTTTTTTGTTTGCTTGACTGTGCTGATATTGAACTCGAAAAAATAAAAATGAAAAAGAAGAAGCCTCACACGAATAGTTCATAGAAGGGTTTGAGCCTCAAGGCCCATAGGAATGAGCTGAGCAGCAAATGGCTTTGGGTTGGCTATTCAGGCTCCGTTTTTAGTATTTCCTTCTGGTTTGGGCCTTCCTGCGACGTTAGCGCTTTCTTCACCATAATAGAAAAAGGAAAAAGGAACGCAAAGTTTAGCGGCGGCGCCCGGGGCCCAGGGAGGGGGTGGTTAAAATCAAGCCAAGTTAAGCTTTGTGCTTAACAGAGTTTAATAACAAGTTGACATGAGTCTACCCTGTAATTTATAATAAGTTTTTTTTTTCATCCTGAATCTGGCCTGTATAAAAGACTGGTGTGGCCCTCTTAAAAAAACCTGTAATTTTAAAATCTTCAAAATGCATAATAAAAAATACATAGGCTAATAAAAAAAATATACATATTATATAATAATTTTTTTATTATTATCTTTTATTTAAATTTTAATATCGTAAATAATTTTTTAAATCTTAATTGTGGTTAATATTATTAAAAAAATTATAATTATATATTAAAATTTAAAATGAAACTAGATATGAGTATAAAATTAAAAAACTAGATCAATCCGTTAGGCTCAGCCTACATGTTTTTTTAATCTTATTTTACTATTTTAGGACAGAGGGAAAAATTTAAAAAGAAAGAGAATCCAGAGATCGCTTCCGGCACAGGATAACAATCTCCACAATGGCGAGTGTTTATATTGTTATCCAGTAGCTAAGAGGCTTACCAGACCTGACCTGCACACTGCACTCGAACACGTCCTAGCCGTTTTAAATATTTATATTTATTTACATGTTTAATCTCACTTGTAAGATTCCTTTGTTTACATGTACACGCCCGAAAAGAAGCCGCGCAGTGGCGCCGGAGCAACAAACAGCAACCCGAAGGTTACAAATTTACTCTGCTGCCAACACTGGAGTGTCCCCCTACAAGAGAGGTCAGAGGTCTCCCTTTCTAAGCCTCTCTATCTTACTCTCCCGCTCGCAATTTCTAAACTTAACAACATTGTTAATGCTGGTTGGCAGAAAAATATGAAAGAGAAGCCCAGAGATATTGGGATACATTCTACAAGCAGCACCAAAATAAAGTTAGTTTTGAATTCGTAGAGTTTATAGTTTTTCTCCCTAGAAGTCTGCGCTAATTCCTCCATCATTCTTAATCTTTTGGCTATGCATAATCCCCAGAAACCAGAGTAGTCTATTATCAATTAAGTGAAATAATGTTGCTGAGTTTAGGAAGGAAAAAAAATGATGTTGCTGGGTGCAATTGCTTCACTTGATGAAATTCTTTTTATCTGTTTCATATTCAATGGTTATGCTAAAATAGTCTGACTGAGTAATACCGTTCCTTTTGCCTGGCATTTTTTTTTCTTATTTCAGTTTTTCAAAGATAGGCATTACTTGGAAAAGGACTGGGGCAAATATTTTTCTGTGAGTGGAAGGAAGGCTTGATTTGTACTTTTCCCCGGTGTTTTTCAAGATACAAATAGTCTAAATATTTTTCAATCTACAGGGAGAAGGAAGAAAAGTGATTTTGGAGGTATAATTTTTCCCATCCATACTTTGTTCTTTCTTGTTCCCTATTCAGCTTCGATGTGAGATAGGTCCCCTATTCTTGTGCAAGCGATACTTTTGGGTTTTATTAATTTTCAGATTACTTCAAATAACTTCTATCGTGCTTTCTGGCCACTCAAAATTGCAATTATGTTAGGGTTAACAGAAAATGGAAAACGTTCTTTGATCATGGAGACGGAACCACTCCTGAGAGTTTCCCTGTGCAGTGAGAGCTATGAGGACCATATGTCTAGATATTTGTCTTTTCTGTTTATGTTTCTCTTTGTAAGGTCTATGGACTTTGAAGTCGCTGAATAAATATTTGCTTTTGCTAAGCAGGTTGGGTGTGGAGCTGGGAATACTATTTTCCCATCATTGCTTCATATCCTGATGCTTTTGTTTTTGCATGTGATTTCTCGGCCCAAGCTGTTGATCTGGTTAAGGTTGGAAATTTATTTTTTGCAAATACTGTCCCCGTTGTCATTTGGTTATATGTCTGCATGTCTCATAATGGGCCTCTAAATTGTGATCCATGCTGCATACTGTTTGTACACTGTTGAAATTACCTCCTGTAAAAGGTTTGTTCTTTAAGATGTAAATACCTCACTGTTTGTGCAAGTAAAGTCGATTGGAACATACTGCTTGGCTGTATTTTGTCACAATTTAAGTGTTTAACAGGATCTGATGTGACCATGTGGCAAATTTTAAGTGCAATATTGGTGTCAATAGCCTATCATTATAACAAACGTTAGAAGTAAATGTTTCACTTGCAATAAAAAAGTAGGGCATGAATATGTGTTGCGTATTGACTGTTGTTTATATAGGTCTGATAAGAATGGGTTTGCCTTGCATGTTGCAGTCGCATATAGACTACAAGGAGTCCTGTGCCAGTGCTTTCATCTCTGATCTGACAGCTGATGACCTCAGCAAGGAGATTTCTCCATCATCAGTTGATATTGTTACCATGGTATTTTAACGGAAGTCATAAACCCATTTTTTTCAACTTATTGTAGAGTGATATGGGTCTGTTAGTGTTAGCTAACAGGTGTCATTTCCTTGCCTTATATCGAATTCATAAACAGTTCTGCTCTTAATTATTGAGAAATAGTTATGGCTTTGTTGTTTAAGTATCTAGCATGTTAAGCAGATATTTATGTTGTCTGCAGTATCCCCAGAGAAGATGCCTCTAGTGTTGAAGAATATTAGAAAAGTTATGAAGGTGAGTAATTTCTATTTTATTACAATCAATGTGCTGCATTTCCTGAAACATTGCTAGACCATTTGTTTCTAAGTGATGGACTTGTGTCCTTTTCTCCCTTTGCAGCCGAATGGTTATGTGCTGTTTCGAGATTATGCTGCTGGTGACCATGCACAGGTTGATTTTGTTGTGCTTTCCTTTTATGTATCTTCTGAAGAAAAGTTATAGGTGCATAAATCTTGTTCCAAATAATTTTATTCTGACTAATATTTCTCTCGTGACTTAGGATCTGAATTTACTGCTCATTGTAGTTCATTCCAAAGTAATTTGGAATCTCATTTCAACTATCTTGATTTTGCCTGATTGGGGTGATTTTATTCTCTCTTTAGAGTGATGTGGTTGTACTTATTCAATGCGTAATTGTTGGATCTCTAGCTGAAATATGTTGAATCACTGAATCAATTACCATGTCAGTTTTATCCTTGGTTGGGCAATTATTTCGCTGCCAAATTCTGGCTAATTGCTTTCTTTCGTTTGAGCTGCTGATTTTTAGATTTCTACTTGTTCTGCTTCATAGGAGAAATTTTCAGGCAAGGACCAAAAGATTGGTGATAACTTCTATGTCAGGGATGATGGCACTGTGAGTCTTCAGTAATTCCCATGTTATCATGTAATTTAGCGCACATGTGTGCCTCTTCATTAATGTAACGCACCTTTTTGTATCTTATCCAGCGTGCTTACTATTTTTCACCAGTTCTTGACAAATTTGTTTAAAGAAAATGGTTTTGATGTTGAAGAAATTGGTGTATACTGCAAAAAAGTTGAGAATCGCCCAAGGGAGCTGGTAATGAACCGGTAAAGTACCTTTTCACAAGTTCCTTTTGTTTTATTCCCGATATTTATGTTATCTCAATAATTTTGGGAGGGTGCTGTCCTTGCTTTAGTAGTCCATTGTTGATAGAGACTGAGATGGTATGGGATACTAATGAAGTCACATGTTGAGTAGTATGAGATGCTTAATAAGGTATTCAAGTAAACAGCTTCTTCCACCTCAATAGTTAGTTTTTAAGGGAAAAAGTTCTTTATCCTGCCTGGGTCATAGGTCTCACATTGAGTATTGTAGGACTCTCGATGGAATATTTAAGTAGATTAGTTCTTTATCATTAATGGCTGGTTTTGAAGAAGAGATTTTTAATCTCACTTGGGCACCAATCAACCATCCATGTTCGGTGGTTTTAGACGTTGGCTCCGAGCTGCATTTCGCATGTCAAATGCCTCCAACCGTTTTTCCAGTAAAGAGGGCCTAACGGAGTCCAGCGGTCTTCATTTTCCTTTATAGGAATACGTGCATTCCTGAGTCTGCATCGCCTTTTCCATGCAACTATGGAAGAGTTGATCAGTACCAGTGGAAGCTGTAAAGATAAAGAGGAACCTGCATTAATTATTTGCCATATCCATCCCAGGCCAAGTAGATGAAATGGATCTCTACTTTCAGCTGCTGCAGAATTTGGTTTGAAATTTGCGATTAAATTGACTGGTAGTTTTCAGCTGTTCCTCGCACGGCTTTAAGTATCTTGCTCTTCCCTCGTTTTCGAGCTGTCTTGTTAAAAAGATCTCAACTCATTTTTTAATTTCTTGGCCTGGAAAAAGACGAGAGTTATAAGTTTATATTTTGGCAATTCATTGTATTGTTATTTAGTTGGCCAAAAAAACATGTAATTCTCGTTCATTTCAATTTCTTCCTTCACCAATCGGAGGGGACATAGATATTGTTGTTGTATTTGCGCCCTGCTGCATTCGTATAGTAATGCTAAGGCCTGTGTTACTGTTCGGAAATTATGATTATTAAAGCACTGCTCATAAAGTTAAGAATTTTCTTCTGGTTCGTTGGCTTAAATCACCATGGAGCAAAAGTACACACGCTTAAATTATTAACCAACTCACAGGAAAAAGGGGCAAAAAGGCCCCCGGACCAGCGGAACAGACACAAATACATGTTTAAGCTTTAGATCAGATTTCTTTCTGTTACACATATAGCATAATATAACATGGCAAGTGAGCATATCTTGTTGATGGAGATGCTAATCTTTTGAGAAAGTCTTTCTGTCAAGTGTTAGCAACGTAACTTACGCACTAGATGGTCAACAGAGCGTCAAACAACTTGTGTATTCCACTGTTTTTCTTTTACTCTTCCTTGATCGCATGATGATGATTAAAAAACAAGTTATATCAAAGGACCACGCGTAATGATGAATGAATATATATATATATATATATATATATATATATATATATATATATTATAAGGCGATCTTCTTTAGGGCCCATGCTAACTATCGCTGTAATACTTCCACTACTGATTGCACGTCAGATTGATCTGCTTGAAGTATGTTTGGCTTTATGTTGTTAATTGCTTTTACCAAAACTATAGTTCTGACATTTTTTTTTTTTTTTCTAACACGAAGCTAAACATATATTAATACTATTAGTCTGTGAGAAAAAAAATTATTATCCAAAGATTTGCCGAAAAGATGAGTCGCTCAAGGCCCAAAATTAAGAAATTATTTATTATCACATAGATTCCTCAAGTAATAAATGTAGGAGTTTGTTTAGAAATTTATATTTTAATCATGAATTTAAGATATTAATCTTCATCATTTTGCTGGTCCAAAAAAAAAATTCATCATTTTCTATATTTATATTTTTTCCTCAGACTCACCTCTATTGCTCACACGCATTATAGATGGTTCCCAATATGAATGATTAAAATTAAGGAATCATGCAAAAAATTTAAGCACATTTTTTTATAAATAATTAACTTAACAATTTTTTTAATTTATGAGAATCAATTATCTACCTCATATATTCAAAATAGTATAATAATATAAGTTATGAGACAAATTATATTGTTTATAACTTGTAAATATATGATTTTTTATAAACTTCATACTAAATACATTGAATTGATTTCATATAATATATTGACATCATAGCCTATGTTGCTAGATCAACCCTTAACATGTAACATCACTTTATCATAGCCAATGAAGATTAAATATATTCCTATTCTATTTTGTCTTAAATGTGATCGAAACCCAAGAATAAATAAGTAATATGGTGTTTAATGCGAAATTAAACTAGATGTTATGTTAAAATTAATAATTTTGAATTTTTAATGCTTGTGGTCTGTTTTGATAGGAATCAAAGTGAAATTGATCGTGAAAGGAGAGAAGTCAAGATTTTTGTGTGCTGTGACGGAACAAAGCATACGTCTTACATAAATTGTAAATCTTCTCCCTTCAAACTTCTTAACTAATCAATTCGCTTGTTATAACTAAGCAACCCTTGAGAGAAAGGCCTTGTCTAAAGTTTCTAGAGTTCGACATGCATGCAAGTTAATTTGAAATGCCCCATAACACATAACAACTACCCAAAGCAGTACAAGATTCATGGTGGTATCAATTGACAGATGTAACTAAATTTAGCTAATATACTTAATTAAGCTAGCAGTTTAGCAGCTCAGTGTACAACACTAGTGGGCATATATACTCTGATCTATGTATACTACTCTCAATAATACAGTACAAATTACGTTTTACGCTCTCATTCTTTGATATTATATATCATTATACAAAATACAGACTACCACCGGTGTTAATATAAGATCTAATTTGTAGTATATCAAATTAGTCTAAGTAATTGTAGAGTTCCTCCCTCATGGATTAACACTCTTCATTCATCTTCAGCTTCAATTCTTATAACTAAACCAGCACAAAATGGTCCTACCCCTAGTGATTGAACTCCAAACTATATCTTATATATATTTTCAGAGTTAGCATTTAAAAATATAACAATAGCATATATTCTGATTAAACTCTTATAAGTCACATCTAGGTCTCAATAAACAATAAATTTTCCCCATTTCAAAATGTTTATTCCTCTTGACTAACCCAAAATAATGTCACATAGTTTATGTACATTTTTCAGCGAGATCACAACCATCAGATCTGAATATTCTCAGATTTCCCTTAAGTTACCGTACTTATAATTAAGAAGTACCTGGTAAGTGATATGGTACGCCACATAGTATTGTGATCTTAAAGATGCATTCAAATAATGAGATGGAACATAACACAGTGAAGATTTACACACGTCAGGACACATCTATAAAGCTGTCTTTGTTCGAGAAGATACAGTCCAGCTAATCTATATGTTATGAACATAAGCCACATGAACTCTTCTCATTTTTCTCATCCACAATAAAAACCATGGATTATACATCTCTTGTCCTTTTCCAAGAAATAACTCAGCATACAACTTCTGGAGATCTTTCATGTCCATCTGGCCTTTCTCGTTTGACATGTTAGGCACGCTTCTTCACCTGAAAGATCCTTTATTGATTGAAAATTGGGGCCAGCGCAATAATACACTACCATACATTTGGAAAACATACTACATAACTATATATATAATTCAGAACCCTAGAGCACATATGTAAATAAAGACAATTAACAAAAGGACAGAAGAGAAAGACCGCGATAGCATATAGCTTTAGATTGTCTGTATATAAATAAATCAAATCAGCCTAATCCAAGTTAATATTTGTAAAAAGAAGTTCAAATTGTTTGATTTATTGGTTGATTTTAGACCGAAGAAGCAACATCTGTTCAGATTCTGATGTAATTGATGGTCTCTTGCCTTCTCGAAATGGCCACTGCATAGCCAAAACCGACGGAAAAAGAAAACAAAGAAATTCCTCAAATATATATATATATATATATATATATATATATATATATAGCGAGAGTAAGAAGGAGATTTTCCCAGATGCGTTAACCAACTATAAACACCTGCGTGAAAAAATCAGCCATATATTCAACTAAATTGATTAAAGTATATATCGAAACTTATCTTTGTTACGAAAGTTGAACAAAATCAAACAGTAAACCGAAAAAAACCAGTCTTAGACCACAAACAGTCACATATAACTGCATCAGATAGAGATCGATTTAACCAAAACAGTTATTTTTCACATTAAGGTGCTGTAGATCAGCATGCTGAGAATCATAAAAATTCGTACCTTGCCCCCGTACATATTGGTATAAGCAGTATTGATCGAGAGTTCGTTTGGTAAAAACAAAAGAATTCCTTAAACTCGAATCTAATGGAACAGATTGGGAAGTTAATTTCCGGACAAAACGAGTTCCCGGAGCTAGGGTTAATATGGACGGGAAAAAAGGGTATTAGGGTTAGGGGTAGGGAGGTTGGATAGCATATAAAGAAGGAAAAGCGATAAAAGAAAAAACCACAAATAATTAAGTACTATAATAATTATAGTAGCAGAAAGTGAAAGCTAAGGGAAATAGAAGAGAGAGAGAAAGAGAGATGGGGTGACAGATAGAGCGTGAGCACGCATAGCTTCAAGCACGAAACATGAGCATGCAAGAAAGTACCATGTGTGCTCACTCTCTTCTGTCACCTCCCTTACCCTTTTAAATTAATCTCCCTACAAATTTCATGTCTACTCTGCAAGCTCCAATAATCGGATCACACTAACCTAACCCTCTTTTTCTGAAAATTGGGACCGATCGGGTTAATTAGGGGAAGGGGTTGGGAAAGAGGGAGAAGGGGGGGGGGGCACTATTATCTAGGTGTGAAGAAAACTATTCCAGCTTTGTGCATAACAAAACTGAACTGCTCTTGCTGGTGTGAAGAGAAGTGGAGGGAAGGAGGGTTTATATAGAGCCCTTGAGAGAGATTGTGAGCATCAATCACGTATGGAAGGAATAAATGTGGGTTTATCCTCCATTGGTCATTCTTTATTATTTTAAATAAATGTATGCATTTTACAGACGGGAAAAAGAGAAAGCAGAATTAGTTTTTAAAAAAGAAAAAAACAAGTGAACAAACTTTAACTTATCTTTATGATCTCTACCCATACGCAAACCAATTCCCACCCCCACACACTCATTTATTTTCGTTGTTGTTACCAACGCGTCTTGTAATTCTAAATCTCTTCTGTTTATTGCCCAATCCTTGCTATTCTTTGTCTCGGCTTCTTCAAAACCCTATCTTTACTTGTGCTCTCATATTTGACGTGATTTATTTTTTCTTTCATGTGAAAATGATAATCCTGAAGTGACTAGTGAGTACGGATTAAGTACTTATATCGGTTGTCTCTTCACTTACGAATTAACATCACAGAACTGCTTAAATTAGAAGGACCTGTGATCACTCACGAATATTAACTTAAAGAAAAATATGGCTAAAATATATATATATATATATATATATATATATATATAGTGAAGAGCCTCGCTATTAATGATCATGGAACTACTTAAATTAGAAGGACCAGATCATTCACGAATACTCCCTCTGTTCTTTATTATAAGAGACATTTGATGTTCATGGCATGTTTCAATATATAAGAGACACTTAAAAGTTGTCTCTATTTTTTTGTATTGATTTCCTATTTTACCCCTATTTATTTTGTCTCTAACTCATACTCTCTCTCCCTCCCACTTCTCTTTCTTTTAATAATTTAATTGTTCTCTCTCATACTCTCTCTCCTTATTAATGGGGGCATTGTTGGAAAAAAAATATTATACTTTTGACATATTAATTGTCCTCAACTAAATTTAACTGTTTTTTTTATCAACATAATTTGGTTATTTGTCTCTTATAATAAGGAACGGAGGGAGTACTAATTAACTTAAGCAAAGATTTGGCTAATGGTATTGGTGAAAGACCTCGTAATTAATTATCGCATGACCACTTAAATCAAAGGACCTGCAGATCATTCACGAATATTGTACTGTGGCTTATTATATATGGTGAAAGACATGGTTATTACTAATTAATTAGCTGAGGATTTTAGTATCAATGTTTAAGGGTTGCCCTTGGTGCTTCTCTGATACTATAATATAACCATCAATGCACATGTGATGAAAAGCTGCTGTGAATAATATGCTTTCCACCACCAAGATCATCTATACCTAATTATTAATTAACTGATATAATGAGTAAGTGCTTTGCAGTATAAATTTTCACCTTAGCTATATATAAACGGTTTAATCATCAGCAATGGATGGACATAACTCTTTTCTTCTTTTGCCAAAATGGATGGACATACTATACTCACGGGAAATTCTATGAAAAACTCGAGCTTCTGTAAAAAATTGAGAGCTCTAGCCATTAGATTTACTTTCGAGATGTTTAACTTAAAAGTTAGCACTGCTACCAAAAATTCAAGTAAAAAAATCTCAAATTATTTAAGAAAATGTAATAAAACCTCTGCTCGAACTGCATAAAGTACTTTAATTTATGCAGAATTAATTACTTCATATTCACCTATTGGAATATGATGAGTCATTGTGCTTTGATTCTAGATGTGAGAGAAAGTCAATGACATGGGTTCTTGCTGAGAATTATCACGGCATAAACAAATTAAGCAGCATACAATTATTGTTCATCTTTAAGCATAGAATATCCATGTGGTGCTCTCTTGTTTATATCTCTCTAATATGCTTCAGAAGGAACCGAAGCACAAAACATGGTAGCGATATAATGGCAGGTCCCCATCCTCTAATTGAATTATAAAATAAAAAGAGAAGGGATAAAAAAGGAGGAATCTATTACGTTTGCTCAAGTAAATTAGAGCTAAGTGCAGAGCACAGGCTTACAAGCCAGAAGCCACTTGAGAGAGATCTAATATGCGGCGGCGTTAAAGCAGTCTAAAGTATATATGCTTTATGCTTTACATTTGTTTAAAACAATTATTAAGCGATGCAAAGTAAATCATTGACATTAATGTTCGAACCAATCGCTACAAGTGCGTGGTTTGCGGGACGTCATGCCTTCCCAATTGAATAGTACAGAGAAATCTATTTATATACTATATTACTGGATTTGATACTTGGCTGTCGTTTAATTAAACACAAAGCACTTTGACTGGTCGTTTTCCAAATCTCGGATATAAATCTACCCCTTCCACTTGGGATGCATACTCTCGCACATTACTCTCATGATTTTAGGATCTTAATTGCTATGTATTCATCATTATTATATGAATCACGCCGACCATTAGGTTTTTCACGCCGGGCAGAGAAATTAATATATGCTACTTACTATATGAGGGCTTTGTTATATTGGAGGGCCCACACTCTAAGGGATCTATGATCTATCATTTACCAGGGACTATACATATGGTAACTACATACTAATGATGATGAGAAGTGAGCTAGCTACCACAATGAGCAATAGTATAAGGTTTCCAGATTAGGAAAGGCCAAGAGTATAACGTTGTCCAGACTTGCCCTATTCTGGGGGATTGGATATATGTACATATCCATAGGATTCCAAGTGTCTGTACAGAGCACGACAGAAAAAAAAAAATGTAGATTTTTACTGATACAAAAAGATCCACTCGGATTAACATTTGTGATGATAAATGCCCGCCTTCTACGCGGCGCTTTTTCTCCCTTTTGCTTTCCGCCGGATGAGGTAACTTTTATACTATAATTGAAGGTAAATAAAAGTGCTCATACTCGGGACCAGCATGTTCTGTAGAGATCCTCAGATAATAATACTCCACAGAGATTCAGAAGTCAAATGTTATGTGTGTAAAATCCAATGTAGGTGGCGGGAATTAAGCTGCAGGAAGACGCGTGAGGTTGGTCCCTAATAGAGCCAGTAACAAAAAATGAGCATTGAAAACTGTCGAACCCAGATTGGCGTGGCAACATATGGAGCAGGCGAGGAGGATAAGGTCAAGAGGATGAAGAGAAGAGAGGAGGGTTTTAGTGAGTAGGATATGGTGAGGACATAGAAACCCTAATGTCATAGAGTGGACACGTCCTTGGGAATGCTATACCGGTGTGTGTTGGGAAGAGGCCAACACACAAAAGCAAGGCAGTCAAATGTGGGTGGCTTTAATATATTTATGTGTTGTGGTCACAGAGAGAGAAAAAGAGTGAGAAGGAAGGGACGGTACATGAATGAGGAGTTAGGAGTGGGAAGAGAATATGAAGCGGCGGTGTGGGGAATGCCAAGTCATGAGAGAAAGGGAAGCACGTGAAGGAGAATTTGGAAGCATGTGCCATAAATCACGATATCAGATCTTTGGTGGTGGTGGTGGCAGTGAGAGCACGCTAACGCATTGGCCATCTTTGCCGGTGTGTTATCCCCACCCTCTGCCACCACCCTCTCCCTACTTCTGAAGCTGCACTTTCTTTCAAGAATTCTTCCTACTATTTTATACTGTTTCTCTTCTACTTTCCTTTACCTTTTCTCTCTAATAAATAGCTTTATTAAACGTTAAAGCCTCCCTTTAATTATTCCTCTCTCTTTACTAATTCTGTTTCCTTAACCTTCTGATTAGTTGGAAGAGCAAGTTCCATCATATATAATGCAGTTTCATCGCTGCACATTAATTAATATATAAACTCACATCTGCTCTGCCAAATCAAATATCGAATAATAATATATATGGTCCTGTCACCTTCGGCTGAATGGATTAATTCATGTTGATGGCTTTAATGATATGTTAATATCTTTGACTGATTATTTAGGGGAGCCAAGATCTGAATATCTTATGCATCTTTAATTTCCTTATTACATCTCTAAGGTGCTGTCATCTTTACACCTTTGCCTGGATGGATATTGATATTGATGTCCGTTAAATGTAATCTAAAGACCCAGTTCTTGCAGTTGAGAGATCAATTAGATAAATTCTATATTACGTGTGGAAACTGGGAATTTGGACTTGAGCCAAAAATACATTGCTTGGATATATAATTTTTTTTTTTATGGATTTGGATTTGATCCAAATAATCGATTCTAATTAGTTTGTAAGCAAAAATTTTATTACTCTTTCCTTTATAATTTCAAATATATACTTAATCCATTCTAATTAGTTTCAAATTTCAACTCTCCCGTTTTATGCGAAACAAACATGTCAATAATTCATGCAATAGTTGAACAATATATTGTTATTGGTGCGAGTTTTTTATACTGCTAACATTAGTTATTTGGCATATGAGCTTTTAAATATAAAATCCAAATCCAAATTCATCTATCTAAATGCCAATACCTAAGTGCTTAGATAGATTTACAGTCTGCGATTAATTTGTAACTAATCTTTCACTATTCACTACTAAGTTCCCAGCCTTTGCAATTGAACTTTTACTGAACTTCTACAATCTTATTAATTAATATTTGAAGATTTGCATTTCAGCTTCTGCAATTTGTAACACAGATACATAAATATGTGTCAATTATGTAAGAACACTTTCCTTTGTTTACTTGGAAAAAAAATCTTGATCCTTTCATGTCATATTAAAAATTCACGGTCCTCTTTAATTAAAATGATTGATTTCCTTCCACAATCCTTATGTCTCTTGTCCCCATTTTTCATTCCTACGTAATGTTTAGTTTAATAAAAATAGGGGAATTAAGGAAAAATTAAGCGAACGACTGTGATATCTTCAATAATTAAACAAATATTATAACCACTGACGCACACGCATATAT